CCCTAAACCCTAAAAAACCCCAAACCTTAAAAAACCCTAAACCCTAAAAAACCCTAAACCCTAAAAAACTCTAAAAAACCCTAAACCCTAAAACCCTAAACCCTAAAACCTTAAAACCCTAAAACCCCTAAACCCTAAAACCCCTAAACCCTAAACCCCTAAACCCTAAACCCTAACCCAGTGGAGACCCCTCGCAAAGCTTCGCCTGCGCGGGCCAAGGCCGCTCGGCTCTGCGGCTCTGCGGCTCTGCGAGGCCTTGGGCAAAACCCGAAAGCTTTAAACAACACAGTCTCCATATCAACCTTTTATGCCCGACAAGGGCATAAACCCAAAAGTCCAAAACTTGATGATGCCAGTCCGTCCTTCAAGCTGCAGTTGGTCCTATTCGAAGATGCCCAGAACACCCTATACTTTTGTGGCTTTTTGCTGTTGTTTCTTAGATTTGGGGTGCTTTCATTTTTCGGCAATTATTTTAAGTCTCTCCAGGGCACTGTTTAACGTTTAGTGGCATATCAGGATGATGTTGTACAAGACTTCGACTGGTGCCGGATGAAATCGCGCAAAACCACCACTACACCCTCATAACACTTTCAAAAGCCCGCAAGAACCCCGAAGCCCTCCCCTCAACACACACAAAACCCCAACACACACGAAAACCTTGAAGCGAGCCTGAGCTGCACGCAACTCGCGTGAAAGTTTGAATGTCGCTGGCATCGACAGTTGCGAGGGCGTTGGACTTCTCTTTCTTGATTTCCTGACACTCGGCGGCTCGTTCAGCGGTCTGTCACAGCTCTGAGCTGCTAAGGCTGAGGGAGATTGCGGTGGAAGCCAACACTCAGAGCCCAGGTCCCCCTTCAAGTCATCAAAGTCATCGATATTTTAAAGCTTGGGGACACCCTGCGAATCACTCACCGTTCGCTGTAATTGCTTCCAACACAGCATGCAGATGGCCTCACCGAACACTTGAAAGGCGGGCCCGGAAGCTGCACCTGGACCCGCCAAGTCGTCCTGGCAAGGTGGAAATCTCTCCCAGCCCCTTCCCGACCGCCTCCCCGAAGCCTCTCCCCGCGATCGGACGGCTCGCCGCACCCTCGCGAAATCACGCGACATGCACAGCATGCTCCGCCCGCTTGTGCTCCGGCGACTGACTTTTGCTCTCACACAGCACTGTCCTCGCACATCAGCTCCCGCACCCTACCCAAGGACCCGAGGATGCTCCTGCCAGGGAAGGCAAGTCGCAGCAACTGTGGCTGCAAGCTTCCCATCCTGAAAGTGGGGTCAAAACTGAACTCACTCCCAGCAAGCCCGGCCCTGCCATCGCGACAGCGCTGGAGCCCAGATCCCTACCACTTCGTGCCCCACCCGTGGATTCAGCTACGACGCTATTGATGACAGCTTTCCTTCCTTGCGCTCCACATACTGAACCTTGCTCTCACACAACGCAGTCCTTACCCATCAGCTCCTGCACCCAGACGACAGTGAATCGCCTGATGTAGTGCCTTGCAGGGGTGGGCGAGTCTGGCAGAAACGGCATGGGCCCGTCATGCCCGTCTCAAAAGAAGAAGTCGAGTTTGAAAGCATGATCGATGACTTATCCTGTCAATACGCGCTCGCAGCTTGGACAGATAATCCCTGAGTAGGACGAGTCTGACCTCCTTAATCACTTCATGGTTGAAATCTGCACTTTTTCGTTGGATCGCTGCCAGACTGACTGTTTGGTTGCACCAGGCATTCCAAGCTTTGACCGTGTAGGGGGCCTTCAGACCCCAAAAAGGGCCCGAAAAGAGTTGAATGAGGCCATGTTTTGTGGGTCGAGCGAAAAGAATCCAACAACCTAGAAATCCTATCATTAACCAGCCTATGACGGAATAAGACCATGACATGGACATGTAAACAGAATTACGAGTGCATTCAGCAGAACGAACACAGCGGAGCAAAAGTGAGGCGTGAGTTGCTCTTATGTGCCCTTATTGAAATAATCTCTGGGCTAAACAAACTTGCCTTCAAAGAACTGAAACTGTCGCCACAGCTCGTTAAGGGAGAACTCGTCCAGTCCCCGCAAAATCCTTTCCAAGAGCCGTCGCCGAGCTGTCCATAGCGTCCGCATTCAGCATGGTCTCCACGAAGCTGAAAGCGCGTTGTCGTAAGCACAGTCGCACCAGTTCAAATCCCTTGCCCGATAACATGACACTTCTTGCGCGTCTCATCCAGTTTTGTGGCAACACCTTGGTCTGTCATCCCGATGTAGTTGATCGCCGCGGTGGAAAAGCCCTATCTTCGTTGCAAACTCAGTTTCGAAGGTTGGTGCGAGCGTGTATCCGCTGTAGCTGCCGCCAAAGTCATACCATCGGATCTCTGGAAGATCTGCGCCAGCAGAAGCGAGGAGCACGTTGCCTTCATGCGCATCATGGAGGTGGTTCCAATCTGCCATTGTGGCATTATTGTGGCAAGGTCCAGGTGGTACCCTACCAAGATAGTGGAAATGGCTAGGAGTGACGCCACAGTGGCTTTCGAAGGACCCATCAAAGCCTTTTATGAGGCCGAGTCCGATCAGGACTGACCCGGACGGGTTCGTTGCCGCAGGGGTTCAGCACAGGCACTGTGGAGGATGGTTGCACACAAGCCAGACATTCGGAATTCGGACAACGACGGTGCTGGAGGAAACACCATCTTCTTCCATAAGAGCTCGTCTCGCCAGCGCATGCCTCCGGTACTCCTTGGCTGTGAGGATACGCCGTACATCGATTCCCCGCAATGCCTTACGGAACTTTGGCGCGATACGGGACTGGATTCTATCACGCCCGCGAGGACGAGATTCAGCCAAATCCGTGGTCCTTACCAAAGATATGCCATCATCGTTGGCGCTGGGATCGTCCTCCACCAAGGCGAGCCTCACTGCAATTTTGCCATGCCGCCCTGCGCACAGTACAACCGCATTGTCTCCTCCACCAGAATATGCATCGTCTGCGCAATCCTCCAGTAGGGGTAACAGACTCAGGACTGCAGCGGTCGGCAAAGCGATGTGTTAAACAGATGCACAGCACGACGAAGTGAACACCAGCACATGCTTAGCGCATGGACGAATGAAATTACCGAACTTTTTCTTGAGCAGATCTGGTTGCCGATGCACCAACATTCAAACTGTGTTGACGTGCTTAAAACCTACAGCCGGAACTTGGCAAGGATGATCTGCGTGATAATCACGATGAGAACACAATACTAATCGACCTGATTTGGACAATATGATGACCCTAAACCTAAACCCTAAAGTTGGCCCTAAAGCCTGAATGTGACGGAACATGAAAGCTCCTGCCCCCACACCGCCGCCCCCCCTAGCCTTGCACGCGGCAGAACGGGCGCTGAGGCGAAAGCTGCGGTTTAGGGTTTGGTTTAGGCTCTCGGTTCAGGGCTTAGGCTCACGCGAGGGTCGGCTGAGCACGGCTTCGTGCTGCCAAATTACAGCCCTGTTCTGCCATCATACGAGCATCATGCTTGCCCCAACAAGAACAAAAACATGCGCAGCAGGCACAGTGGAGCCTTTATTCTTCCCTCCTGTAGCATACCCAACATCTCCCCCCACATCCCCAGCATCCCCACCCTCCGGCCCCGCCTGTTGCAGTCCTCTGCAGTAGAACATGGTCTTGACCGCAATGATGAGATCTTCATGGAAGGATCCCAAGCGTTGTCGCCAGTGGCCAAAAAACGGCATTTGCAGCCAAGCTCGAATCGACTTCGAAGCTGCCGCAGGACGCTTTCTTCTTCCACGGGCGGGATGGGGAAAGGGGGAAGGCTTCAATGTTGCATAACGCTTGCTTGCCTTATCGCCACCCGCCCATGCTTTGTGGAAGCTGAGAGATGATTCATGATGATTCATGCGAGCGACATCCCTGAGTGCCTGCAGAGAATGCTGAATCGGGCAGAGGAAACACGCGCCTACTGCAAGATGTGCTCATGAGACACAAACCGCATGTTTCGAAATGCTTCGTGACACATGCATGCTTGTGCATCTGAAGGTCTGTTTTCCACTGGCATCGGTCGAGCCTCGCTGCAGCCATGGCATGGCTACAGCCTCCCCAGAGTCTACAAACAAGGCAGAGAACGAGGCAAAGGATCGAAGAAACTGTTGAAGGGGAACGAGAAACAAGGAGGCAGCCGGCGCGAGATGCCAATCATCATAGCGAGAAACACCACAGAATGTGACATGGGAACATCGTGCTCACTTGTTGGAATAGATTCTCAAAGAGTTGTCCATGGACACGCTGGCCAGTGTCTTTGCATTCGGACCTGAGCCCAGCAAAAGCTACAATTGCTCACCGCGGATCGGGCTGGCGGCCGCACCCCAGCAAAGACCGGTCACAGTGTCTGTGTGCTCCTGCACAGGCGTGTCATGTTAGTGTAAGACGCACAGTCTACAGAGAGTGCTCGTATGCGCGATCTTCTCCGTTTGCACATGTTGTGTTGACTAGCAAGTCGGCCTTTTGCATCTCGTTAAAGCATTTTACCTGGCAGTCGGCCTCGGACCTCTTGACCTGTGATGCAGTTGGCTCTGATGCTCAGAGTGTCCTTGAAAGCAGCAGCTTCTGTCAGCGTCGTCTTGGTCGCGAAATTGAATACCTCGTAAACAGCAGTTGCGAGTGGCGCAGCTTACCGGGCCACACCAGACTGTGTCCACCTGCACGGCCTTGCTTCCCACAGCCAAGTACTGCCTGAGCAAAGTAATCGGCATTGCTTGAGTAGTCTGCTCTCTCGCTGAAGGAGTCTGGGCACCGTGCCCTGTGCTGTCAAACGCAACAGCATGAACGGGACCGTCTACCTGTATGCTTAGTGAAAATGTGACTGGGTGTCACAATGTGTCACGTCAGCTTGTCTTGGGTCGGCAGTCCTTGAGGGTCTGGATATTCAGCGGTTTTCTCAGGTCCCAAAGCCTGCAAGACAGACCACCATGACTGCGGTGACCCGGCAATGAGTGCCAAGAGCCGCACTTGACAACACCATCATCTGAAGCCGATGCCAAGTAGTAGCCGTTGCCAGAGAAGGACAAAGTCTGCAAACAGAAAACCAAACCAGTTAACCAGTGTCTAGCTCTGACACGCATGATCCAAGCAGCCTGGACTGTGCCCTCATGGCCGGTGAGGCTGGTGACGGTCGCCTCGCAATATGGTTTTGCGCCTCGATGAGATGTGCTTGCATGCGACCTGGGCCACTGGCCTGTTCCTTAACATCCCAGACAACAACCGTCTTGTCCTGGTGACAAGTAGGGCAGGATTCCTAACAGTTGTCTAGACTTGCTCACTGTGAAGATGTGGCGAAGAATGATGCGGTTCATAGTAGTTTCTGGAGGAGGAACTCGAGTCAAGCAAGCAAGCGCCTTTGTGCCGCCGGCAATAATCAGCCCATCTGGATGAAAGCTCATGCAAGGGTATGCGGAGTCCAAATCCTGCGGTGCAAGGCAAAGCTGATCCATCCAACATTATGTAGTCGGTGTTGACTGCAGAATGGATGACGGCTGCCTGCATGTGTCGTATGCAGCGGCCGCTGTGAAAGTCGTGAATAGCCCAGGACTTGTCCAAGGAGGCCGTGAGGAAGTAACTCAGTGCTGATGCGGTGCGGGATCGGGGGGCTGCCATGCGCAAGGGGTAAGGCCGGTGCTCTCCCAGTGGATGGATGGAAAGGTCCGTCACTTCTGCACTGTGCTTTCGGATCGTGTGCAGGCAATTGTACCTGGAGAAACTCCGAAGATACTGCCACGGTAGATTTAGGCTTTGCACAGCGCACTGGCTTGACCAGTCTGTCGTGCGGCTGCAAGTCCAGATTTTTACCGTCGCATCCTGCGACGCAGAAGCCACCACATCCTTGTCCGGATGCAGCTTGACAGCGGTGACCTGCAGCAAGTTTGGACAGGATCTCGCAAGAAAGTCGCCGTCGCGCTGGCATTGGGCTGGCAAGTTGGGGCACCCTCTTGGAGTGGCCAGCCATCTTCTGCACCGACTTGCTCTTCTGCGCATCGAAGAGAATCACCTGTCATGGTGGCCACGTGCGAGCACTGCAAGAACACAGGCTGGCAGGTTAGCGAGGTAAGCTTCAAGTATCGCCTGGCCATCGACACCACCAGTCGCAATCCTGTGGGGATGAACCTCTCAAGTTGGAAGTATGGAGAGCTGAGATTGGGTCATGCAAATAGAGTACTAGACTTGGCCTTGTGCACGTCGACACAGAGAACACCAGGTGCAGTGGAGTGGTGGATATTGGGAAACGACCCTTTGCATTCCAACCTGGGGTCAGGTTCACCGCCACAACAAGGAACACGAACCATCTCCGGCCTCTTGACCTCTTCGAGAGGGTTGAGGTCGGGGAAGCTTCGCCTCAGTGGAAAGTCATTAAAGGCAGCTAGATTCAAAGCTGCTCATCTCCAACAAGAACACAAAGAGTCGCTTCAGATCACTTACAAGAGAACCTGGAGAGCCCTACGGATGTCTTGCGACCTGCTTGCTCAGCCCCACCTCCCTCGCTCCTGCCTGGTCCCTTCTCGCAGTCCGTGGTGCTGACACTGACGTCACGATAACACGACGACGGGGGCGGGACGCCCTGCGACGAGGCGAAGCTACGACGAAAATTCACCCATCAATATTGACGCGACGTCCAATGAACACTTCACTCTGCATGCATCGTGGTGAAAGGTCCAAGCTTGACTGCATTGCTCGGCACCTCCACCGGACAACCACCGGAAGCAAGGTTCAGTGGGATGTAGGAACGTTGCACAAACCAATACTGCATGTACTGAAGCGAGTGTAACTGACATTCACGTCCCGTGCCATCGGTATTGACAGCCCACTTCAGATGTGACGAAGATGGTTGTTTTGAGATCTCGTCTAGCTTCGGAAAGTCTTCTTGTGTAGCTCTTGAAGCCTCCAGCGATAAAGTCTGGGTGCAGCACTGCTTGCGGCTCTTCGCCAGAGTTTTTGCAAGCTCCTGTGGCAATCACGACTGCTCTGCGCTTCATCGTTCTCTTGCTGCACCGACCTCATGTAAATCTGCTGCCACTGAGGGCGTTCATGTATGTTCACTTTGTTGTGCTGCAATCGGGAGCCCCTTCAGTGCTCCCTTGGGAGCCTATCTGTCTTCCACTCGCCACGAGAGTTCCCACACTGATCAATCTGAACAAGGTAGATAATGACTACGACTACAGGCTTCTAACCCTGAAACTCACAACTTCCGCCGAACTTGTCCTCCATCTTGCTGAGTATCTGAGGGGTGAGGCCAGTCTCGACCTGCAGAGTTATGCGTGCAGTTCACAGTGCAGGATGACACAACAACGGAATTCATTTCGGGCGAGTCCTCGGCAGACCCTGCAGGTGCATTCGCAGGTGTTGAGTTGCTGAGCTGATCCTGCAGCTGCGCTACCTGGCAACTCTTTTCAGTTCGAATGCCTAGGCAAGCACGCAGAATGTGGCAATTCGTGGAATCGTGTTTCCCACACCTGAGTTCGTGCTGCATCTCGCTCCCGTAGCAGTCGAGCGATGACGCGACAAGCTGCATCATGCTGATAAAGTGCATGAGAGAGTTGCTTGCGAGTGGTGTCAAGATTCCTTGGCGACGTAGCAGTCGAGGCTAGGGGCATACGGGAGCGCGAGTTTGCTGACTGAGATGCGGTCGTCTTCATCTCATACGTTTCGGACATGAGGGCATCCCATTCACTCTGTAAGAGTGTCCTCAGTGTGGTGCATGGTGAACTCGTTTTATAGCAGGCCTTGCGTGCAGCAAACACTCACTTGGAATGAACAAATATCATGCTATGATGAGCGGTTACGCACAATCACATTCAGGAATCTTGCGCCGGCACCCACTGCCCTCCCCAGTTACTGCATGTTCGCAGGCCCAACCAAGGGCTCCCATTGCAAGTGCCCTAACTAAGACAAGTGCAGCATGCCAGGAATGGATGTCGCTGCAGCTGGCCGGGGCTTGACTACCTTGTTCACCTTCATCTCACAAAGGTCTTCCTCCGGCGCGAATCCGAATCATCCAACCCGTTCTCGAAAGGGAGACAACCCTGGCATCTGGCCTGTGTTAGCTCCTCTTGGGTCACAGGACATCGTCCAGTCTCCTGCACCTGCTTCTCGATGAGCCGCCGCTCGTAGACCTGCCTTTTCAAGTCGCCAAGTACGACGGGTCTCAGGCTGCGGCGATGGTTAGCGGAGCAACAGCCACAACGTCGAACCTAGTCTTCGGAGAGTACACAGGCTGCTCTGGTGCAGTACCGGAAATTGCACAGACCTCCAGCAGCATCCGAGAATACAAGGTGTAGGTGCCGAGCATTGACTATGATTGTCTCTACTTGAGTTACCAGCAATTGTGGACATCGAATGATCCACAAACCTGCAGCCAATTGCATGCAAATAAGTGTCCCTCTGCTTCAAGCTATGACCCTCGAGGGCCTCCCTGGCTGCAAAGCCTCAGGAATGCTAACTGTTTCTGGCCATGACGCAGTCTGCAGTCGTCCGTGCAGAAGCCAGGTCCCCAGCCGTGTACACGGCGGGCCGAACGCCAAATGCAAGGGCCGGAGGGAATAGTTAAGCTAGAAAGTCTACGCCTGGTCCTACACCTGTCTTTCATCAAAACTTGTCCATGCTGCGGGACGAACATGCCTCTAGCCACTCTAGCCTTGCTAGTTTTCTTGCCCTCATTTTGTCTGGTGTAGGAAAATCAGTCACGCTGCATTTCGGGCTTCGGCTTCCCATCCTCCCTGGTGTTCGCAAGGTTGGCTGTTGTCTCATCATCGTGCGCCAGCCCTGTTGTCACAGGGCTAACAACTGTTCTCAGGAGAGTGGTCGAAACCAGAGCAGTCACAGGAGCAGGTTCCAAACCATAGTAACTAGCAACGCCGTTGAAGCAGAAACCCCGCCAATGCGCCATGTCGAACAGCTCATCGTTAACTCTGCATCCAGCATAATAGCAGACCAGCTGAACAACGCCAAACTCTTGGGTCCAGGTTTTTTTTTCGTATTTTTCTTTTTTTTAGTATTTTTCGTGGTTTTGGGTTCCGTCGCAAATACTACACATAGAGGTATTCAACTGCAAACACAGTGCTCGCATCATGGGTTTGGAAGGGCTTTGCATGCTTTGAAGCAAGCGTTGCCCGGCTTAAACAAGCCCCCCCCCCATTTGCAAACACAGTGCTCGCATCATGGGCTTGGAGGGCCTCGCATGCTTTGAGGGATTGGGGGGAGGGCCTCGCATGCTTTGAAGCAAGCGTTGCCCGGCTTAAACAAAGCGGGGGGGTTGAGGGGGGCGCCCCCCCCCATTTGCAAACACAGTGTTTGCATCATGGGTTTGGAGGGCCTCGCATGCTTTGAAGCAGGCGTTGCCCGGCTTAAACAAAGCGGGGGGGGTTGGGGGGGGGCAGCCCCCTCCATCTGCAAACACAGTGCTCGCATCATGGGCTTGGAAGGGCTTCGCATGCTTTGAAGCAAGCGTTGCCCGGCTTGAAAAAAGCGGGAGGGTTGGGGGGGGCATCATGGGTTTGGAAGGGCTTTGCATGCTTTGAAGCAAGCGTTGCCCGGCTTAACAAGCGGCGGGGTTGGGGGGGGCGCAGCCCCCCCATTTGCAAACACAGTGCT